ATCAAAATCTTCCTTTTTTTGTTTCTTTTTTTTCTTTTCGTTTCTTTTTTCTTTCTTTCTTTTTTTTTTTTTTTTTATTTTGTTTCTTGGATGGAATCCGTTCCTTATTGGCTTAAACAACACGAACGCGCGAGCTCCTTTGAACACGTTTAACACGAATCTCTGTAAACGTCTCCCCCTCCCCATTTTTGTCCCTTTTTAACTCTTATTAGAAGTATCAACGTTCGATTATAAATATCGTTAAGATTATCATAAAAATTCTGATTTTTTTCTCTCTTTTATCATTATCTTCTCTCTCTCTCTCTCCCTCCCTCCCTTCACCCCTCCCTCTCTTCGATTATCCCTGCCATCATCCTCTTATTGTTCCAAATTTCACGTTGCTCGACAATAAAAATGCTCGTCCCGAAAAAAAAAAAAAAAAATAATCTCTCCAAACGATTTCGAAATCGTTACAGCAACCGCTTTCTCTCCTCTCGCATCCATTCATCCATTACTCGATTCCAACACGTGGCGCGCGATTCGATCTTTCTCTCCTTCGTTACGCTTCATTCCGTTCCACGATCATCCCTCGATCATCAACCGTCCATCTTCCGCGAGCGAAACCGTTGTACCATTCTCCCTTCCTTCACCCCTCCCTTCGCTAAATGCAAATAAGAAGGCCTATAACACGACGGGTAATGCAGGGAGAAATGCAATTTAAAACAATGGCATCGATCAGGGCATTTTCGTATAGGTTCTCGCTATAAACGGCGGTAACACGCGGAAGAACTTGAATCAATCAATCCTCGCGATTCTTTAACAAGGAAATCATCGAACGAGAAATGAAAAGTGAAAAGAACGTTGAAAAGAAAGGTGAAAGAGGATCTCTCTCTCACTGTTTCTCCGACTGTTTCTCTATTTCATACATCCGATTTTTGTGCGGGGGGTCAGCAATCCCTTAACGATTATTATTATTATTACTTTTTTAATTTTTTTTTTTCTTTTCCATTTTGTGCGCCTCTATGATACAATCATCAATCATCATCGCAACGACCAACGGTGCCCTAGTATAAGTAATATCTTTGGTATCGTGCCTGAGTCTTCCATTCGCAAGAAGGATCACTAAGGGATTTTCTTTTTTTCTTCTTTTTCTTTTTCTTTAGTAGAATCTTATAATCGGATAAAACGCGCGAACTCGGTTTTATTACTTCTTTTTTTTTTTTTTTCCTTTTTTTTCTTTTTCTCTCTTCTAGTATCGTCGTATCAAACTTAGAAAACGTCCATTCCTCTCCGACAAAGTGAAAACAAGCCGATTAAAAATACTCTACCTACACCGGAGGTGTACAATTAGATATTTTGCAACGACGAGAAGTGTCGGGTCGATAAATACATGGCAGCTTCGAAACGCGCGCACTTGTATCTACGCGCGCGCGCATATGTGTGTTTTGTGTGTGTGTGTGTGATAACGTGTGTGTGTGTGTATATATATATAAATCGAGTCTCCCCTTTCTTTTTTTTCCCCCTTGTCAACCTGTTCGTTTCACGCGCAGGATGGACGACGCCTTGCATCCTCCTTCTTTCTTGGACGCATGCGAACAACAGTCTTTTGCCAGGAACGTGTATGAATCCCGCAGGCCCTTGCGTTGATTATCATTATTATCATTATCATTATTATTATTATTATTATTATTAATATTATTATTATTACTATTATTATTACTATTATTATTATTATTATTATTATTATTTCTCTTTCTCTCTTTTTTCTTCTTTCTTTTTTTTTTTTTTTTTTCATTTCTTCTTCAGGAGAAGGAGAAGAAAGGCGCTCTTCTTGTCGTTTGCACCGTGAAACGTGGCCAAACGTTCCTCCCTCCTCGTGTTATTTCGAAATTTGTACTGTCGACAAAAAAAGGAAACCGTGTTCGTCGATGCCGATCTAACATTTGGTTACTCTAAAGATGAACGGATGGTGGAGGCCCGCGCCCTCTTCTTCTTTTTTTTTTCTTTTCTTTTTTTCTTTTTTTCTCCAGGGATTCTTTTCAGTCTTACCATTGTTGAGGGGAGGCGGTGTGAAGCGGCGGGCCTTTATTCCTTATTTTTTTTCTTCTCTCTCTCTCTCTCTCTCTCCTTTTCAATCGAAAAAAGAGTCGATCGGGGGTCTTTCGACCGATTATTATACTCGTATATAATTCGTATGAAAAAACGCCGTTGTTTAACAAACATTTTTGTTGTTAAAAATCCTCGTGTAAAATCCGGTGTAATTGTGTGCGTGTCGAACAAGAACGGAGAAATGATAATAAAATGAGAAAGTGAACGAAGGCGGCTTGTGACGACTCTCTCGCTCGATTGTTCACAGAATCAGGAATCATTTTTAACTCGTGGTTTAAAAGTGATTTAACTCGATGATCAGACGACGATGCGTCTCGAAGAGGATGAACAAGAGGAGGAAAAATAAAAATCGGAATCGTTGAATCGAGATTAATTTTTTCGAGGGGGAGGGGGGGGGCGGGAAGGGGAGAGAGAGGAAAAAAGCGATTGTTTCATGAACAGCACGGCCGTTGAATTCTTGTGAACAAAGGATCGTCGAGTTTTCATCGCCGCCATCCATCATCGTTTCTTAGTTGAAATTCGTCGAAGAGAGTGATACTGTACATCTCTCCTCACCGTTTTTCTCTTTCTTTCTCTCTCACTCTCTCTCTCACGCGTACACAAACACACACTCTCGTTCTCTCTCTCTCTCTCTCTCTCTCTCTCGCTCGCTTCCTTTCGCTCTCTCGCTTTCTCTCCCGCTTTCTCTCAAACGCCTAGAAAAACACCTCGTCATATATAGTATATATCACATACGCGTTACTTCTAAACACACTGAAATAAGAAGCACTTTAAGATAGATGTCTACGTGTCAATCATCGGGCCCAGATTCACAGATGGACTGATTCTCGTTTCCTTCTCCCTTTACACACACATCACTGCAGCTCATAGAACTCTTTTTTATTAAACTCCTTCGTATATGTTATTTGTTCTTCTCTCTCTCTCTCTCTCTCTTATCTCTTTTTTCTTGTATATAACGTGAATTATTTACATGCAAGTCCTATATGCCTCCTTCCTTCCTTCCTTCCTTCCTTCCTTCCTTCCTCCTCTCTGGCTAATTCTCTTAATGTCGTCTCCTAAATTAACACCTCCTCTTTTAAACATCTCACACACGCACGCTCTCTCTCTTCTTCTCTTCTCTCTCTCTCTCTCTCTCTCTCTCTCTCTCTCGCTCTATCATCTCTCTGTATTACGTATATGTGCAGGTGGTGAAACGCGCGTTTCCGAAACGTACGAGAAAAATTAGGAATCCGTGGGAATCTCTCGGCGGTAACTCCGTTTCCGTCAAACTGCCCGACACTCGAAGAGAGTCTTGCCTGATTAACCAACACATCGTGCCTCGTGGCGACGTGACGATCTCCGCGATTTTATCCGTTGATCGTGTGAGTGTATTTGTGTGTGTGTGTGTGTGAGTGTATTTGTGTGTGTGTGTGCGTATGTATGGCACACGGTGCCGTGACTACGAAATCCAATGGTTATTATATATCTCCTTTCCTTTCTCGACCGAAAATTCTCGTCGAGAACGTTGATGAAGAGCAAGAACAAGATCGTTAAACAATCGCGCGCGATCCCTTAATTTTTTTTCATTCGAGGCACGCGGTAGTATTACGCGAACAATAATGGCACTGGTCAATCACTCGCGTTTAAATATTATTACAACATTATTAGAAAAATCGCAAGTCGAGTCCGACGATAGTCTCTTTTAATTGACTTCACGAGAAGTAACCTTTGTCGTAATACTACGCGCGGTATCGTCGATAGTAGTAATAGTAATAGTAATAGTAATAATAATAATAATAATAATAATAGTAATAGTAATAATAATAATAATAATAATAATAATAATAATAATAATAATAATAATAATATTAATAAACGATCGTTAAAACGGCGGAGATCGCCACGATTCCATCGCGAACGATTCGACGCACCATCCCGTCGATCAACGCGCCTTCGTCTCAATCGTCCTTCCTCTTTTCCAAGGAATAACATATATACTATATATATATATATATTTCTCTCTTCTTCTTCTCAGGATCTTCCTCGACGAAGCGTGGTGGTTGGTGGTTACTATCGCTCGTTGATCCTGGAGCGGATCGACTGGCCCCGGCCGATTCCGAGAGCGGGAGCGCAAGGAACGAAAGGAGACGAAAAAGAAGGGAAAGTTTTCAAGAAATGATCGAGAATCCAAGAACTGTCGGTCGATCGATCGATCGATCGGGAGGGGGGGGGGGGGCGGAGGATGGGAACACGCTACTATACAGGATCGGGACGCGCGGCTGGGCTGTAGAACGGCGTCCCAGCGGCTGGCGTCGCGTAACAAGAAGCGGAGTACGACGGCGGCGGTGACGCCGACGTGGTCGACGACGACTATGATCGATAGATGTAGCTGCAGGGCGGTGTCGGCGGCGGGGGCGAGCCACCGCCGCTCATGGCGATCGGTACGAGGGTCGGCGAGGGTGACGAGGAGGGAGGAGACGGGGAACTGGACGAAACGCTCGAGGGTGGCGAGGGCGACTCGAGCGCCCTCGGCCCCGCGAGCTCGCGGTTCGACTGTCCCCCAGACGTCACAGCGCGACTACTCCTTGCCGCCGTGGTCGCGTTGTGCCGGTTGCGCGCTGGCCGCCCTAAGCTCCGGTGGCGGCCACCTCCCTCCTCGCTCGTTTCTCAGAGATAAACCTTCTTCACGCTGCGGGTGGTCGCGAACCCGTCGTTGCGCCGATACGCGTCGCCCTGGTGCGAGCGCAGGGTGCCGAAGTTGTCCCTCGCCCCGCGGAACCCGTACCCGTCCGGGAACTGGAATAGCGTCTCCGTCGGGGTCGGCGGCGGTTTACGCATCGTCCCCTTCGGCGAGTGGAGCTTCGGCGGCTGCGGGACCAGCACCGGCTCCGCGTACGTCACCTCCTCCTGGGGCAATAATTTCGGCTCGGGCGCTAGCCTGCTGCAATGTTCCGCCCAGGATTAATAACGCAACCAGGGAGAAGAGTTTGCTGCCAACCCTACCTGTTCACGTTTTGCCGCTGCTCGAAGTACTCGTACTCCGTGTCCGGATACGGCAGATTATCGTCCTCGTCCTTTCTACATTTCCTGCCGCACAGGTAGCCGGCCACGAACCCGACCAACAGAGCGGCCAACGCGCCAGCTACCACGGCCATCACTAGGGTCTCCACCGAGTATTGCGGAGGCGGGGAGTCGGCCGCCGATACTTCCGGACCTGCGTCAATCCAGAAATTCGTCGATTAAAAATTCGAAAGTCGCGGTGTGTGTAAAATAAAATAAAAATTGGGAAAAGATAAAAGCTCGTTTCGTTTCCGATACCGTTTCCTCCTCTTCGATCCATTCGAAAAAAGTTTTATCTTTTAACTCTTTGCGCTCCGGCGAACGAGCAACTCCAGACAGTTTCCCCACACACGTTCGATGCGTTCGATAGAATTTTTTACAACTAATTTAAAAGATTTCACACGCAAATTAACTTTTATATTTTAATATCTTTATATTTATCTTTACGTATAAATGAACAAAATTTAATTTATTTAAATTAAATATTTAAAGTCTATATTTTTGTTTTGTATGATATTTTATAAAACATTTACCAAGATGAATCCTCGGTTTGTCAGGTATCGCAATAAAATATCGTTACAAACTATAAATATATCCCAATAACGTGCTCTCTCATTTATTGTCCATTGTTCTTTTATTTTTCATCTTCTTATACTACATCTCTATTTTTATCACTATCTTCCTTCTCTCTATTATCAATTTCTTAACGAATAGAAATAATTTCATTATTTAATAATTCGAAGAATTCATCTTGGACTTAATATCCCAATAACTTGTTCTCACATTCACAGTCTATTATTATTCTTATTTTTCTCCTTCTCTTACAGCATCTCAATTTTCAATTTTACTATTTTCTTTCTCCCTGTCGTCAATTACTTAATGAATAGAAATCATTTCGTTATTTAACAACGAAAGATCAAACTCATCTCCACTTGAACTAATTTCATTACGTTTGCAAACCTTGCAGAAACTTTGAAAATAATATTTCTATCGCCACGAATGTCAAAATCGGATTAACGCCGAAAATAGTTCGATCCGAGACGGTGTTATTTCAGATAAAAATCCAACTTTCAAAATTTAATAGTATATTATTCTACACTTTATAAGATTACACTCAAAGAGCTTAGAAATCGTGTAGCGATATTTTTAAAAAAATCAAGAATAAATAAATATTGTCGCTCGAATTGCTGCATCAATCCAAGTGGTGGCGAAGAGTCGGAGCGCAAAGAGTTAAAATAAAATTTTTGTCGTACATTTTCCTTCCAATATCCATCCAATATCTACCTGAATTGTCCTGCTCCTCGTCCTGCATGATATTGATGATCTCTCCCCCTTGGCCTTCCTTGTTGGGGATCATCGAGTCGGGTGGGAATTTATTCTGGTTCGCGGAGATGGCGCCAACGCTGCCGGCATCCTTGTTCAGACTTTTGCTGGGCGGGCAGGAGGCGTGCAGCCCTGTCGCCACGCTCTGAAGGAATCTGCTCGCGTCGGTGGCCGCGGGCCCGACCAACGCCCTGCACTTGCCCTCCACCTTGTCCCAGGCGCAATACGGGTCCTGCAGGGCCACGCACTCGCCGCACGACAATATCCTGTCGCTGTAGCAACGGTGCAGCCTCAACGCCTGTACCTGGCTGTCGGCGATCACCACCAGTCGGCCGTCCTCGAGGCCGTCGCCCGCCTGCGAGGCCCTCACCACCTTGATGCCTCGCACGGGCACCGTCGAGGGGAACGCCTGGATCTCCTCGATCACCACGGGGCTCACCTTCAGGTGAGTGTCCGCCGACTCGGCGTTCACCGCCTTGATCACCTTCCCGTTGTCCGTCCCGATGAACAACACGTCGTACGTCTTGCCGCCCGGAGTCTTCACCTGGGGATCGACCGCGATCTGCGTGAACCTGTAACTGTATTCGATTCGTTTGTTGGATTCGATCGATTCGTACGCGAAAAAAAAAAAAAAATTTTGAAAGAAGTATAAGCGAATATAGTAATATTTCGAGAATATTTGTAACGCGACGGCTGAATATCTGGAAAGATTCTAATTATACTCGGATCTCGTGTAAATAAATAAAATGTTTGTTCTCTTCGTTTAATTAAAAATGGAAGAGGCATCGAAATATAAATATTTTTCGATTCTTATTCTTTCGATACTGAAAATAGGGAACGAGTCTCTTTATATTTTATGTTATCAATTCAACTGTTTTGTTATTATTTGTTATTATTACCCGAAATATCGTTCCCTTGTATCTCAATCAAATATTCATTTTAAGATAATATTTATACGTCTTAACGTTGCGTCTAAAATACACTTTTGAAATTTCTTCGCGAAACTGCTATTCTAAAATATACCGAAAGAAATAAAAGAATCCACTACTACCCTCTGTCTCCTCCCGTATTTCCATTACAACTACACGAAACGCTTTATCTTTTCCAACAATCGTAATCGCTAGTTGAACTTACTGGAAACTGGTGCGAATGACGATGGGCTGACCGAAGAAGCTCGGCACCAGCTCGTCCATCAGGGAATGGGTGTGGATAAAGTTGAGGGTGAGATCGGGCAGGGATCGAGAATCGTTCACGCACTGGCCGGGCCTTGGATCGGGCACCTTGGTGCTCTGCACCGGCAACCAATTCGAGTTGATCGCGCTCTGCTCCTTGAAATTGCCCTTGAACGTGTCCGTGATGTCCTGCAAGGAGAAGGCGCACACGGCCGAGCCGCTTATGCTGTTCACCGGGGTGGTGAACGTCCCATATATCAACTGCGCCGACTTATTGCCGTACTGGCCCGATATCAATTCCGTCGTCGATTCTGAAAATAACGCGCCCCGTCATTTCCCAGCCTCTTTGTTCGCCCGTATCCCGAGGACGTTTACGAGCCAACACTTTGGAAAATTTATCCCTCCAACGTGCCCTCCCATGTAAAATCAATGACGCTGCGATTCGTGGCGAAAAAAAAATCGAAAAAAATCGCATTTCGCATTCTTGAAAAAGAAGCAGGCATTTGTGCATTGCGAACGCGAATTCTCGTGCCAATTAATTCCACGATTAACCTACTTATTACAGAAATAAAAAAAACGGAATTGGATGCTCGATTCACTTTTACCACGAGGATAGATCGAATTATATAGATACAAAGAGGATTTACTTACGTATCTCGTTGAAGTAGAAAGGAAAGTCTCCGGTAACGGAGCAATTAAGACGGGATTTTAGGAACGAGGTCCACCTATTGCGGTATCGATGGGGACCACCTCGATCGTATTTACAGACTCTCGCTACGCGAGAATAGACGGTCTGCAATGGAGAAGAAAGAAAGAGATGAGAAGAGTATCTCCCTCTCGATCGATAAAATCGCATCCTCGTTCGAAATTATATACGGCGCAAGAGAGGCTATTATATACGCCGATAAATTCGAGTCGAGAACGCGCATTTTCCGAGGATGCGATTAAGAAAAAAAAAAAAAAAAGAAAGAAAGAATCGGCGAGAAAAATGGCGAAAATTTCCATTCACGACTGATATACCGTCGAACTCGATCGCGCTTACCTTGCCGCAATTGATGTACTCCACGGCGGTTTCCCGGAAGAAGAAGTAGACGAAGTCTCCCTGGGCCATGGAGTTGACAAAGTTTGGCGCTGCAATTAGAACGTGCCTCGTATTATGACCCTGTGTTGGCGAATGACGGTCGTAAAGGGTTTCCCCCTTATTATATGAATAAACGAACGTGACAATCGGCATGGGCCGATCAAATATACAGTTAGGCCACGCTCTATCTTGCGACCACCAGCGTGAGCGAAAAGTGTCGAGTAAGCCAGCCTCGAAAAATCGAGGGGCGCGCGCGATCGGATAATCCGGCCTTGTTTTAGGGCGGCGGCATTGGATCCTCGTTAAAAAATCATTACCTCGAGAGGAGAAGGCGAGATCGAAGGGCAAAAATCAATTTCCAACCGTGTGGAAGGATGGGACACATCTTGGACGACGTAACGGAGGGGAGGGGAGAAAGTAAGCCGACCACGAATACGTAAGGAACGTATTTTATTTTATATCGGTTCTTTCCTCCTCTCCATCGACTACTTCATCTACTCTCCGGGGATCAGTCGTATACACGAGCGTCCGATAAAGTGAGAAAACTTTATCGATTTATTAACTTGACAGGGTTTTCATAAGCTTCTTAGGATTCATAAAGTAATATTAATCTCGCGCGCCACGTAAGTATATATATCCGACCGATCCTGCCATGCTCCGGCCAATAAATTTTCTTTCATTCTCTCTTCCCCTCCTCACCCCTCGTCCCTTTTTACACTCCCGCTGATTCATCTTATCCCCCTCCCCGTCCTCCAAACTGTCTTTCTCATCGCGTCGGAAGACAAAACGGGAGAAGGGAAGGGAGATATTCATCCTTCCCTCCTAATTCTGCATTCCACGATTAGAAAAATCCGGATCGATGGAACCATCGATCGTTCGATCGAAAATGAATGGATGGATTGTCGACGCGATGATGCTCGACGAAGCTCGACCGCGATGGAAAGCTTTTCGACGATCGTTCGGCTGGAAATAGTAACGATGTACAATTATTTTCGCGGTAAAAATGCTCCACATCAAATACATATACATATATATATATTTTTCCCACGTGCCAAACTTTTCGCTTTTACATTCGAAAATTCCGAGCGAGATGAGCGAGACGGGGAGAGCGAAATGAACGAGAAGAGGAGAGGAGAGGAAGGAAAAAAAGAGAGAAGAAAGAGAGAAAGAGTTGAATTTTCAACGAACCGAGGGGAAAAATCAATATTATCCAGCGGACGGAGAAACTTGATTAGCGTTCGTACACCGTTCAATTAAAATGCTCGAGCGGACGAGTGAAACCGTGGAAATAAGGTGACGCATTCCCTCCACTTCTTTACTTTCCCCGTTTCCCAAAGTTTTCAACGATCGTGAAAAAAATTTCCACGGGGCGCTATAATTCTCCATCCCCCCCTTTTGGTGACCCGGTCCCGAATAAATATTCCAACGTTTCGGCAAATTCGCAGGGGAACCGTAACCTCTTCGGGATGTAAAGGAGGCGTACGTGCAATTTACGGGTGTACGTAACTGATAAACCAGTTAATAACAACTCGATCGGGGGAGAAGGGCGGTCGGAGAGGAAGGGAGCGGTGGTCGTTGAATCGTTGGCGGACGACCAAGGGCCGCCAGACAGCTCTTTCATCCGGATTAAAATTTCTCATCTGTGCGTGTGTATATATATATTTCGTTGTACGTTCCGTTGTCGAGGACTTGGAGAGAAGACTTTTGTCATTATAGAGATATAGAAGGACCGTGGAATAATATCGTGGAATAATAAGTCAGCTCGGCGAGCTGCGAAATCCGGTGCACGCGCTGTTAATCTCGGAATTAGACTTTACGGATTAAAAACCGCATGGTCGCGCGGCATTTCTGAGCCATTTTACAAGTCCAGAACTTCGACTATATAAATAAACGGATCGAAGTTTCTTCTATTTTCGAGATCGAATATCGCGTGTCTATCACGCCCGATGACGCTTCTATATGTGTGTGTGTGTGTATACGAAAAGTAACAAGATTCGTTTCTTTCTGTATTTTATCTTCTGAAAGCGGTGTCTGTCGAATATTTCTAGATTATTAATACTGGCAATTTTTTTGTATCACGTAATAGGGGTATCACGCGATAAGGATTGAAGTAATATCTTAATATAGATTGACACGAAAATATAAAGAGTCTTGTTGAATCTTGTCGACAAAATCTGTCTGTTGAATTTGAACTTTCGATCGAAAAGCGAGATACGTGGTAACGTTTGATGGTATTCGGTTGATCTGATCTCGAATGTTTACTTTTTTATTCCAAAATTAAAAGTATCAGTAACGTGATCAGAAATCGTGCATTTTTTTACTTGACTCTTAAAAAGTTATTAATTCGAATCTTTTTTTCGGGTTTTTGAATTTACATTATTATCCGGTCCCGTTACTTTTTATATTATGCATACGATGCACCGTTTGCATAAGTAGCGCGTAACCAATGCAGCTGAATTCTCTCTACGGTTCCCAGTTTTGGATTATCCGGTAAGCGTGCTCGAAACGATAAACGCTCGGCTATCGAGCTTCCGTTCGAGCGAGCAACTCTTCTCTCTCTCTGTGTCTCACTCCCCCCCGTTTAAGGCATAACTTTTTCGTGCCTTCTCCTCGTGGAAAAGCGCTTCACAGGAACGTTTCACAGTACACGTAGTAATAAATTCTTTCCCGGCCACCGACCTTTTTCCATCATCGAAAACGCTCCAGCTGGCACACTCGTCGCGCCCTTATTCCTCATAATCCTTAATCTTTGATCGCGCGTTAACGTCATCCGCCATTTCCTCTTCACCAAACACCTCCTATCTCTCTCTCTCTCTCTCTCTCTCTCTTTTTTTTATTTTCTCCAACGTTCCATTTCAAACGCCACCTTTCAAATCATCCGATTAATCCGATTAATCGGTCAATCGAACGAAGAAAAATTCTTAACGCTCTCGCCACGGGCGACAGTGCTCGCCTCATAAATTCGATTTGCTTCGACGGTGTTTCGTGAAAAAAAATTGACGATTAAAACAAAATATCGACGCCACGTTTCCAGAGAAAGATACTCGATGTATGCAATGACTCCAATCGTCATATCGTACGATACGCGGCATCTTATGCAGAGCGACCATAGTCGCCTGTGGCGAAAAGGTTAATAACCGCCGCCATGAAAAATTTGCTCGAGAAAAATCGTTGTTTTAACGGTGTTTACTGGAAAAAAAATTGACGATAAAAAGAAAAGACTCCAATCGTCATATCGTACGATACGCGGCATCTTATGCAAAAGGTTGTTGTAACTCACCGTTTAGGCTCTTGGAGTCGTACTGCTCGGTTTGGAGCGGCTCCCTGTAGATGATCGGGTCCATCCCCGCGAAATCGGCCACCGTGCCCGTGTAAAGCTCCCCGTCAACGTAACGAAGGTGCTGTTGTGCCTTGGATCGTAGGGGCACATCGCCTGGCCACCCTTCTCCTTCAGTATCGTGTAATTGCCGGCGTGCACCCCGTAGTCACGGCACATCGGCTTGAACGCGTTCGTCGCGCACACAAGCAACGTGTTCGCGTCCGTCTTGACGAGAATGCGAATATAGTTCTGGCAATTCTCCTCCGGCGTGCCCTTCACCAGGCACATCTTCACGTCACTGTCGGTCGAGTACCAAGTCAACCTCTGCTGCTCGGTCAAATCGGTCAGGCTCAGATTGTGCACGAGATTTCTGTGAAAAGGGGGTTTTTATTATAAATTTTATTATCGAATATTAACGCTTTCGAACGGAAGGTGATCGGCGTTTTCGTTCGCTTTGGGTTGGGCTATTGAATAATTTCTGGCTTTTGTTGTTGACCGAGTTTCGAATAAGGGACGAGTTTTCAATTTGAAATTTCGAAAGTCGAAAGAGAACAGAGATTCGAAAAGATTGTGTATTGCGTTCAAAAAAAAATTGGCGAATTTACATATGACAACAAAGTGTAATACTTTAATATCGTTGTTCGAACAATGGGAAAAAATAAAAATAAAAATAAAGGGGATTAACTTTTTTTAATATTTTCAAAATGCTCTATATAATACATATCCATATATGGGACGCCATATGATTGTTTTACCATTTTTCCGCCGGTCCTTTTATTGATGAAACAAACGTTTCGATCGTGAAATGTTTGATCAATCGGTACGGATTGACAATAGGTTGAATGTTAACGCGAAAAAAAACTTTTTACTCGATAAAAGATCAAGGTCGGTCCAATTTCTTTTTAATAGAATTATATATTATTTTATGCATGAAATTCTATTGAATAATATATCATTTTATTACAGAAATGGTATATTATATTATGCACGGTTATAAATTTCGTTTCGAATACCCATATGCATGAAACACTGTGCACCGTCACACGATTCTGGGTCGCACAGTTGTTCAATATGGAAAAGGGCGGAATTTTATTGAATCATGCCGTATTGTTATGGTATGCGAGGGCCGATTTTCAAATTTTTAAAAATTAAAAAAAATTAAATATTCTATTTCAAAAAAGTAATTGATTTTTTACGTGAATATAAAAATTCAAAAAATCAAATAACGATACGACACAACAATGACAATCCCGTCGGTTACACGTATACCGAGTAAAAAAAAAAAAAAATGATTGAAAATTGACAGAATTATCGTTCCGACAGACTTTGATAAGGGTGATTTGAAAAAAAAGCGAAAATACATTCAAATTTAATTCTTAACAAATCGCTATAACTCTATTAATTTACACAATTTTCTAATAAAAAATTTCACTCAAATACCCGCCATTTAAATAAATAAATTAACGGTACTTGACAGGTATACACGTCATGTGAAAAAGTAAAATTTTTTCCCTAAAAAAATTGAAAAAAATATACATATCTTTAAAAAAGAATTAAAAAAAAAAAAATCAAATCAATTATAAATTTTTGCGTTTTAATAAAAATATCGTTGTATTTCGTGCAAACGAATTAACAATTACACAAAATCTGAAATCATTGTCAAAGCAAAAATTTTCCATCTAATTATTTCATAATTATTTCTGTTCCGAATTACAAACAAAAATTGTGATATTGTACAACGCATTTGTTTCAACAATTAAACAAAACTACAAAATATAAATCTTACGTATTATTCCATACACATCAATAATATTTCTATTTCGTTATTTATATCAAACACTTTGCAATCAACGTATTTACTCTATCTCTTAAACTACATTTCTTATTCCTCGATTCTTTCAATTACTCAAAATTACACGAACTTTCAAATTAAAACTCCCCTCTTAATCCTCGCTCACTGCAAATAACATTCATCGTATCTAACTAACGAATCCTGAACATATGAATTCAAAAGTGAACCCGAGAATTGAAAAAAAAAAAAAAAAACGAAAAGAATTACTTCTCGAATCCAACGAAACTAATCACCCCCTCCTAGTCTATTATTTAAACCTAAACCTCCTCCTCCTTTCTTTGTCGGAATTTTAAAACGCAAAAATGGCTGATGACGATAGACGCGAGACATAAAAGCTGGCGTCGCGATGCAAAGGATTTCACGGGAGAATTTACGGGTGAGAGGTAAGTGCGCCCGAGATCTGGCGAATTTTCGAATTCCTCCTCCTCCTCCTCCTCCTCCTCCTCGTGTTAAGTAAGCGACTCTTCCGAATCTTGAGCGCCGTATATCCCGGAAATTTCTCCACCTATTTCTCTCGCGCGATCCATATTCTTTCTCTCTCTCTCTCTCTCTCTTCTCCACACGGGTGTAGAATCCCGTGCATTAATCACCGTTTCGCGTCGTTTTACCCCCGGTTCGCTTATCGGTGGCGGGAGATCGGTACGGTTCCCCAGGAAACATCGCAGCCATCGCGTTCGAATCGAGGCGCAAAAAAAGAGAGGAGAAAGAAAGAAAGAAGGAAAAAAAAAAAGGTCGATGGAAAAGCCACGGGAACCTCTACAGGGATTCGAAGCCACGATCCGTTTATTACAAGCGGGCCAAGATTTATGGAGGCCGCTTCGAGATTAATATTCCGAGAGAGGTCTCCTGCTGCAAATTTTACCCCGTTGTCTCGCGACAGCTCGCATTTGCGCGCGATTTAACCTAACTCCCTTCCCTCCCCTCCACCCTTCGAGCCGACCGACCATCCTCGAAGCGGAGAAACAATCGGAGGAGGAAGGGGGAAAAAAGAATCGAAAACGAAAGATTATTTGCTCGAAGATCGTGTAATAATCGCGTGCAATTAATCGAACGCGATTAATTCCTTTCCTTCCTTCCTTCCTTCCTTCCTTCCTTCCTTCCTTCCCGACAACAAACAGCAAACTTCGATCGATCAACATGACTACGAACGATTCGAACGGAGAGTTAACGCGAAGATTAATTGATTTTGCTCTTTCTTATCGGATACGGGAATCGTCCATCGATCCCCTCCCTCCCCCGTTCCTCGAGATAATCGATCGAGGATTTATCCGATCATCCCCGTAAGAAGAAGAAGAAGAAGATATAGGCAACGTGTCCTAGAGAGAGAGAGAAGTCGGGATAAATCCTTGGCCGACCTAGATAAAAGGAAAATGCAGAGGGAGATCCGTGCTCCAGATTTTCGATGTATATCGCGATTTTAATTACGTATTACGTGGCCTCCCTAGATTCGGGGGGGGAGGGGGGGAGAAGAAAGTTTTTTAAAGAACCGGCAGGAAGTCGCGCTTCCGCCGGCGCTTGGGATTCGAAGGCTCGTAAAATAAAGGGGAGGAGAGAAAGAGAGAGAGAGAAAAAAGAGGCGTACAAAGAAGTTTCTAAATAAAGTTCGACGATCTCATTAACGGGAACAGCGCCGGTGGTGGCCGGTCTTGGAATTCATCTTGGGAAGGAAAGGGAGGGAAGGAGGGAGGAAACGAGATTTTCTCGGGGAGGAAGTAGTCGGCACACGTAGAGAGAGATCGAGAGAGAGAGAAAGAAGAGAGGGGGCCCCCTCGATCGCGAACACGGGGGCCCTCGAACGAAACCCGGTTGCAAAGAACGGATAAGAAGAAACGGTCCTTTAATTAAAGCACTCGGTCCAAATGAATCCTCTATTTACCTTCCGCCGACCAGAAGATAGTTCCCGTCCCGGAGTACCAGCCGAAAGTAGTCTGTGTGCGTCTCGTTCCCCGTAAACCTGAACACATCTTCCGCACCTGGAAAAGAAAAGCAGAGGAACGTCGGTTGGTTTTCCTTCTACAGTTTCAAAGGAGGAATTACCTTATTCGTCTAATTAGCAGCTAAAGGGAGGGAGGGGAGGGTCGTTTCTGTTCACACGATGATCATCGGGGTCATCGCGTTCGGATCATTCGCGGATACGTTCGCGCTAATGGCATAACACTGCCCATTATGAAACCCCAAGTATTTTGAATATTCTGCGTCTTGTCAACGCATATCACGTGCGTTGCGTAGGTTTAATAATCTGATTGTTGAGTAATCAGTTGTTGAGTACATCCGTGTAACAGCGAAAGGAATTCCTTCGTTATTTGAAAATAAAAATCCTCTTAAATCCTCTTTGGGTTGTCTTTTTTTTTTTATTAATTCTCCCCCTCTCTCCCTTCCTCCTCCATATTTAAATATAATACATACATTGTATAAACCGCTTAAATTAATAACACTCCGTTAAGAGTCTTAAACTTTGCCAACATTGGCGTATAATATCGACAGGTAAATATCGATGAATCGTATATAGGTGCATAATTTAACATACGTATCTAGATACCACCGTTTTAAGATCGTAATTATAATTTCTAGTAATAGACCGATTTCCAGTTATAGACTCGTATCGTATGGTAATATGACGCTTCCAATGCGTTGGTCGATAAATCTTCAGCAAGATTTAAACAAGCACAGGTATAAATCGAGTCGAACTATCCTATATCTGAATAATAATAATAATAATAATAATAATAATAATAATAATAATAACAACAACAACAACAATAGTTAGCATCAAAGTCGACATAATGGATTTATCGTTGGTGGACGTAATTCCAACGAAATTCCAGCAATCGAAAGCGAGGAATTCATCATCCGAAAAGATTTACATCCGCAAGCTTCGATTTTTATAATCCCATTTACCGTCGTTCCCTCGACCGGAGGGGGCGGCGAGCCGCAAATCGGCTTAACAAGCGTAATAAGTTTCCTTTTGACCGCGATTCCAAAGAACAAAGCGGCGATCGATCGTTAATGGATCTATCCCGGCCGATCGACCATTTTTTCACCTGGCAGGAAGCCACTTCATTATCCGCTAATTACCTATCTATTAGTTTCAACGGGCCCTCCCTCCATTCACCCACCACCCCTTCCCCGATCGATCGCTTCCCCCTCCTCCTCCTCCTCCTCCTTCTTCCTCCAGAAACGACGAGAGTTCGTTCCATCCATCGGACAAATTTCCGAGAAATTTCCCTCGAAATTTCGCGAGCCTCGTTATCGTGTATCGTGAAAGGTCTTAATCACCGAGCCTCGCGAGCCTCGCTCCAACCCCCCCTCGAAACGTAACGATTACACCGTTTCTTCCTCCAAGAAACGACGAACGTTAAAGTTATAAAGCAGTAAAACCAGCGTTGGATGATGTCAGTCGTGTTTCGATGTCAGTCAACGTCACCGATCTCCCTTCCTGTGGATCTCCAGGAGATAAACACGCAAGATAGGATCGAGAATAACAAGCGACATCCACTGTGAAGGGAGTCATTGTGGGGTGGAGGGAACGCGTTCGACCTTCGTCGCAAGACTTCGTCGTAATTAACCCTTTCGCTACGGGCGACTACGTCCGCTGAACGAACCGCAGGGCATCAAAAATGATGCTCGAAAAAGATCGTCGAGCGATTCGAGTTGCTTCGATCGTGTTTATTGAAAAAAAGAAAATATCGATGCTGCGTTTCCATCGATGTCCGCGATAACTCCTATCGTATAATAACATCTTGTGCACAGGGACTACAGTAATAGTCGAAAGGGTTAATATAATTCCGATCGACTTTCGAGAAATCCATCCCCAATTTTCCTTCGAGGGAACCTTCGAGCGACTACAGAATATTTTACAGTTAATAACCTCTTAAACCGTGGTCCAGAGAGTCGTTTACTTTTATTTCGTCACGTTCGGGGAAACGACGAGACGATGAGTTGAACAAGGAGCCGAGTGACGGACGCAACGTGGCTGGCGAAATTAACGTTGCCGCGATTATACCCTCCACCACCGGTCAGGTAACGTCTGAAGTGCAATTAACGCGGTCCTCCGACACCAGTCAATATCGATGATTCGAGCGGCGTGTCTCGCGTATGCAATTTGGGTCGCTGATAGCCGCGGAATACCGGGTAAATGGGAACGGACCATTATCGGAGGATCATACGTCTTGCGCTGGAAACGAATTAACGTCACGTTGGACCGCGTTACATTCGTCCTCGTCCGACGGGAAGCCCCGGGAGGATCGACGGTTGGACAGAGAGAGAAAGAGAGGGGCTTTTCCAGCAGATAGAAAATCGGAACGAGGATCGCTCCGGGTCATAGCCCAACAGCCGAGCTGTCCCGCTTATTAAACGTTTTCCGCGTCGAAAACGTTATAGCGGTTATATTTACGGTTTGCCTGCTTTTGACCGCTTTTTATCGTGCTCGTCCAACGTGACCCATTGATCCGACCGATCATTATCGCCACCGATTTGCCGATCTTTCGATCGGTGTCGGTTTTCCCAGGCTTCCTGCTGCTCTATTTTTTTTTTTTTTCGATCATTCGTGAAATCGAAATGAAATTGTATATATATACATATAATTTCTATAATAATGTGTCTCAGAAGGATAATCGTGAACCGAATACGAGTTTTCCGTTCCAAGCTTCGTCCTCGTGTGAATCGAAGATATATATAAG